TTTAACATGACTTTTATTAATGTTTTCATAACAAACTAATTAAAGCTTGTAAAATATTTTAGCTTAAATCAAATGGAAAAGTGTTTAAACAAAATTTCATAACTTGAACTATTTTGTATGACAGTTGGATTATCAAAAAAAGCCAGTGAGAATTTTACAAAAAAACATTTTGCTCATAGTTTAAGTAATAAAATAAAGCTTCACAAATAGTACACGATTCTATTCATGTATACGGAATCATAAAAAATACTGTGGTGTATGCTACTGATGTCAATAGATATAAGTAGTATATATCATCGGACAAAAGTGAAATGCTTAGTGGCATAAGATTAAGAAGATCGAACAAAAGAGACCGAGAACAGAGAATGTTTGGTATAGAAGTCTGAGATGATTGATTTACATATTGCAAATCAAGTATTTACTGTATGGTTCCTCAGATTTTACTAAGATGTTCTGTATTTAAATACATTCGATTGTCCCCCACTAGTATTCTCATTCATTACAATACTATTGAAGTGAAGTTTTCAACTCATATTATCTTCCTGATACATTTATTGCAAGATTCTACTATATTTCTAATCAATAAATATAATCATCTTTGAAATATTTTTTGTTGAAAGATAGCTGTACTGTGAATCATTCCAATGGCCGGATATCATCAGCAACAGCTTATTGTGAAAGAGAATAAACCATCTTCTAGCTGAGGTGGGTGGTGGTGAATAGAACATATCCTAACAACAATAAACTAGTTGTTTATAAGGATATATTCCGTGACAATATCTATTATACATAAAACTTAACAATGAATCTTCTATTCGTGTTATAATAAATAAGAAGGGAAAGTAAATGAATAACATTGAAAAATAATAAATTTCATATTAATTAGAATTTACTATAGGGAAATAGATGACTAATTTACATTAGAAAGTTATATACATAAAATATAAATCAACAAATATATATATATATATATATCAGAAGGGGTTTTTATGGAGATTTAAGAAATGTCACTAGTTGAAATCATGAGTCAATTGAAGCTAGACCGACATGCAAAACCTGGAAGTACTGGATGGCTGTCTCGTCCTAGTATGGGACTCCTCCTCCACGATTCCGCCCCTTGCAATTTGAACTCGGGACCTATCAGTCTCGCGCGCGAGCGCTTAACCTCTACACCACTGAGCTGGCCGATAAACAACGATGTTAATGTCTAACTTCAACCAATCTATGAAATTGCGCCACTATATATCATTGTCTTCAGTGAGTTAATGTCTCACAACCGACCCGGTTGAACTCCTTTAGTCACTGCTTTTCACTAGAGCTCCATGAGGAGTCCCATACTAGGACAAAACGGCCGTCCAGTGCTTCCAGGTTTTCCATGGTGGCCTAGCTCCAATAACTCATGATTTCAACTAGTGATATATATATATATATATATATATATATATATATATATACCAGATAAACATGAAATCTATTTTATAATTATTAAAATATTTTATATTGTATAACATTAGGATATTTCATAATCTGGATGATGTGGTATCTGTCAACTGGATCTGGATAGTATCATAGATGAACAGCGGAGCAATCTGATGCAGACATAAAGATAAGGATTAGTAAATCAAGGACGGCTATCTTACAGTTGATGAGCATATGAAACTCAAAACAACCATCAACCAATATCAAAATCAGAATGTCAAGACAGTCCTGCTGTATGGAGTTGAGACTTGGAGAATAACTTCAACCATCATAAAAATGATACAAGTATTTGCAAACAGTTGTTTGAGTAGGATATTTAACACTCGTTGATCGGATACCATCAGCATAAACCTACTGCAGGAGAGGAGAAACCAATTTCCATCAGAGGAGGAAATAAGGAAAAGACGATGGAAGTGAATAGGACATACATTGTGTAAATTATCAAACTCCATCACTAAACAAGCGCTAACTTGGAATTCTGAAGGGAAGAGGAATAGAGGAAGACCAAGGAATACACTACGTCGGGAATTGGAAGCAGACATGAAAAGGATGAATAACAACCCGATACGATCTCCCAGATCAGGGTAAGATGAGAATGCTGGTGGTCGGCCTATGCCCCTTCACGAGGGGTAACAGGTGCAACGAAGTAAGTAAGTGTTGAGTTTGCTTCCAAGAACTACAAAGGAGCCTCGAGTGGTCCTAAAAAGGGCCAATTGGCGTTCTCAGGACCATCATATCATAGGCGCGTTCACCTCAGATTCGGCGGGCCAGTTGAATGTCCTTTGTCATAATAGTGACACGTTTGGCATTGATGCCACACAAGTTTGTCTTCGAAAAGGCCAACAAAGTAGGCTTCGCTCGCTTCTTGAAGGGCAGAAACTGCAGAACTTTAGAAACGAAGGTGGGTCTTGAAGTCTTGTGTAACTTCCCGGACCAAACGCTAGAAGGGCAGTTTGCATATCAGTAGATCGGTCGACTTTTGATAAAGACGAACCTCACGTAGGTCAAATGTTCTAGAACAATAACGATGAGGTTTCTGAACGCCACCTGTAGCTGTTGCACTCTTACGTGTCGCTTTGGTAGCAAACTGCTTACTTGGAGCCTTCCCACCTGTATTCTTACGGGCAGTCTGCTTCGTACATGCCATGACTATGAACAAAATGTCACAATTTAAAACATTAAGTGAGTAAGCAAGTAAGCTAGTAAGCTAGTAAGAAATTTCATAATTCACACTTGTTTATTTTCTAAAAAACGATATCATAATTACTTTCAAAGAAAATACAATTTATTTTGAAGTATAATGTTATCCTTTCTTTTTTCTACATAAATCACATGTTCGTGATTAATGATAAATAAGAAACCATCTATCTACGTACATGCATCATCACAAGGGAATGAAACAAATGTTTTATAAATTAATCATTATTGAGAATAGCTATATTGAAAATTGATCATATATTCTAAGATACATCAGTGGATATTGTTTAAAACAAATAATGTAAGATTATTATTATTATTATTAACAAAATGAACAGTTTTATTATTTATATTTACTTGGTATTAATATCAGGAGGGATCAGTTGTGAGATAGTAATTCATTGAAGACAATGGTGGATGGTGGAGTAATTTTGTGGATTGATTGAAGTTAGACATTAACACTGTTTAGTGCCGACTGGCTCAGTGGTGTAGAGGTTAAGCGTTCGCACGCGAGTGTAATAGGTCGTGGGTTAGAATCTTGAGAGGCGGGATCGTGGATGCGCACTGCTAAGGAGTACTAGAATAGGATGAAACGGCCTTCGAGTTCTTCCAGGTTTTCCATGGTGGTCTAGCTTCAATTGACTCATGATCCCATTTATTTAAATCACCTGTTATTGTTTACTTGAATCTTTCAATTGATGTTTATGACTGTAATTGATCAGTCTCTTATTGGCAAACGTGCGGCCTGTTCGGATTGCCTCGATATTGCCTAAATTCACAAGCATTATAAGCGAATATGGTTAGTGGATAGTAGTGGAATCCAGTTTGATGCGCGTTTCGTACTATTTGGGACTCATCAACTGGATGTCCCTGCATCTTAGAGTTGGTGTTCACTCCGGCACAAACAAGTGGCTATCAGGACTCAGTAGCGAAGTGGATAACGTGATGGAGTTTGAAGCGAACGGTAATGGGTTGTAGTCACATTGTGAACATCAACTCTGAGATTCAGATTTGGTCATGAAGCTTTTATCGTTCTTCTAATTTACATTATCAACACAAATTTCAGGTAGAAGTGAAGTGTTTGAATTTCTCCACATATGGTTTACATAGAACAAAACTCTACCAAAATCATACACCTGAGCTATAAATTGTCTCCATCATCTCACAAACTATGAATGTTGTTTCATTAATTTATTAATTTCCGCCTTTCTTAGGTCTTTATTTAAATGTTGAAGTATCCAGGAGATATAAAGAACGATAGGATAAATACTTTACAACATAAACCAATCAATCACAGATTTTGAATCATTTGAGTGATGAAATTTTACAGATATTCAGACCTTAAACAACTTCATGGATTGCGTGGAAGTTAGACATTAACATCGTTGTATAACGGCCGGCTCATTGATGTAGAGGTTAAGCGCTCGCTCGCGAGACTGACAGGTCATGGGTTCGAACCTTGCGAAAGGCGGGATCGTGGGTACGCACTGTTGAGGAGTCTCATACTAGGACGAAACGGCCGTCCAGTATTTACAGGTTTTCCATGGTGGTCTAGTTTCAATCGACTAATAATTTAAAATTCACTTGGTAAATATCAGGTTATTATAGTACAATTCAAATCACACATTACTTTGTCAAATCAAGATTATTTTAAATAAATAAGATCAATGTTCTGAAATAGTTGAAAACCAGTATAAAACTAAAAATTTATGATAATTATGCTTGATCATTCTGTATTTTCTCAAGTCATTAGTATTAATTTAATAATTAAATTCATGAGTGAATTGAAGCTAGACCACCATGAAAAATATAAAAACACTAGTATGAGACTACTCAATAGTGCTCACCCATGACCCCGCCCCCACGAGATTCCAACCCACGTCCTATCACACTCGCGTACGAACGCTTAACCTCTACACCACTGAGCCAGCCGGCACTTAATGGTATTAATGTCTAACTTTAACCAATTCACGAAATTGCTCCACCGTTCACCATTGTCATCAGTGAGTTACTATCTTACAACATACCCAGTTGAACATCACTGGTCACTGCTTCTCACTAGAATTCCAGCAAATACCTCTTAAAACCAGTCACTAGTAAGCATATGCTGATGGCTTTCTACTTATTTCATTCATTTTAATATCAACTGATTCTAATAGGATTATTCTGGAATGATTTCAGTTATGGATTTTATTGTTATTGTTTATTCTTTTATTCAAGTTGAACTATTTCAATTCTTTAACTTTTGATTATACCTTTATTTATTTATTTATTTATTTATTTATTTATTTATTTTAGCACATAAGTATAGGTACAGGGAGGCACCAAATACATATGCGCCACACAAATCTCAATTGATTTGTGTGAGGGCTGTGATACTGTCCGGGTGCCCAAACCGAAGCAGGTGGTTTTCTTAGGGGGCCACACCCCGAGCCTTTGACCTGAACGTCTGACCCACAAGGCAGTGGAGCATCGTAAGGAGATGCAGTCCCATGGTAGATGGTGACCAACGATTGGTTCATACGCCATTTGTTCCCGCAGGATACTGGAGCCCATGTGCACCATTGGTTTGGGGTCCGGTTAAAGCGCCAGACATTCGCTTTTCGTCCTCTCATTTTCGTAAACAACACCCGTGGTGCGAGAAGGCAGTGAGTAGGACTTCCCTGGCAGAGGCTATATACGCATGGCCATGTGAGAGCATTTCGAGAGGGAGAGCGGACTCTCCCCACTCTCGGCCGTACAAGGGCATTTGGGGGCAAAAGTACTGAGCCCGACGTGATTATACCTTTATTTAATATTATTTAAATGATTTGATAGATCAGATCTGATTTTGATCAATCATCATTTAATAGATTACAAAATCGACAATAATAATCAATCATAAAACTTACTATTAAAAATAAACTGATTCATTACTTATGGAATAATTAAGAAGCTTATCTCTAATATTATAAATTTAAAGATCAATAATATTTTCCATATGGATACAACTTTAGGAATTGTTTCCATGGGTTTTTCTATTTTTCTTTTTCTAATAACCTGTTTATTCATCAAAACAAAACAAAAACAGTTACTGTTAATAACTATTATTTTATTTCCAAAGTTTCATTTTGTTTTTCTTAATATAATTTATGTAAATGAAGAAAAGAGGAAGAAAGAAGAAACAAGGAAGGAAGGAATAGGGCGAAGAAAGAAGGATGAAGAAGAAGAAGAAGAAAAAGGATAAACAATATTTATCATAATAATAATAATAATAATAATAATAATAACCGATAATTTTCATGTTTAAAATGTGTTTAACTATAAAAGAATAGGAGGAGGGGGGGGGAATTTCGAAAGAACCGTTTAAATATGCTCCAAAATTGTACATTGATAATATTTGTTGATAGCGTAAAGTGGGTCATTGCTAAATTACTCTTATTGGATATATGTATATACATAACATGATTGAGAAGATTATTGATTGAAAAGCATATGACATCCTAGATACAACCTTGAGGTAGGGGAGAGTAAAATTGATAATTATTTTATTAGTTTGTTACATAGTTTATAATCATTTATGATATTTTAATGGAAAGTAAATGAGTTATTTTGATAGCTAATACAAAAAAAATACATTAACTAGAAATTAATTAACATTAAGCATAGAAATAAAAGTATTCAGTATACAAGAATATTGTATTTGGCATTGATATACCTTCATTTGTTATGGTAAGGCCAAGAGTGGGGAAAATTCACTCTCCTACTTCAAATACTCTCATATGACTACATGTATACAACCACTTCCAAGGAAGTCCTATTCACTGCCTTCTCGTGATGAGGGTGTTGTCTACGAAATTGAGAGGATGAAAAGCGAATGTCCGTCGCTTTAATTAGGTTGATGGATATGGGGGATTAACCTAGAGGAGTTGGATAATCCTGATTCCAAACCAATAATACACATGGGCTCCAAGATCCTGAGAGGACAAATGACGTGTAAACCTATTGTTGGTCACTGGCTACCATGAGGTTACATCTCTTAATATTACTCCACTATCTTGTGGATTAGACCTTTAGTTCAAAGGCACTAGGACAGTATCACAACCTTCACACAAATCAATGATAACTGCTACTGGCCTCATTGTTATTGTGTGGTGAATATGTATTTGGTGCTCTCTTGTACCAATGTTTACTTGTTCAAATAAATAAATGAATAAATACATTGATGTTGCTTTTTACTACAATGTCGATTGATGATGTGAGTACTAATGAAATATATCATGTATTATCAACCTGAAACAACCTTGTCATTAGAAATGGTTGGTAGTTAATAGATGGGTGAGTATATTCACAAAATTTTCTCATGGATTATTATCCTTAAGATGAGTTTACAAATTTAAAGGACTGACGCTTACTCAAAAATTTATCATTCTCATTGTGATTGATCTTAACGAAGCCAACAAGTCCTTGAAATTTATATACACGAGATGAATGCTTGTTTTCATGAATATTAACTAACCAGATCTACTTTCAAGTAAACAATACCAAATGAATTTAAAACTTCACCCCATAACATAAGCAAGTGGCTTTCAGGATTTAGTAGCTAAGTGAATAACGTGATGGCGTTCGATGCGAACAGTAATGCGTGTCGAGTTCCTGAGTGAAGATCAACTCAGGGATGTAGGTACATCCAACTGATGTGACTTAAATAGAACGAAACGCGCATCAAACTAGATTCCACTACTAGCCACTAACCATATTCATTTATGATGCCTGTGAATTTAGGCAACAGGGTGCTCATATGTCTACAAGAGACTGATCAATTACAGTCATAAACATCAATTGAAAGATTCAAGTAAACAATAACAAGTGAATTTAGATTTACTTTGGGTTAATAAAAAGTATTTTAAACTATATTTATTTAAATACTATAACTGAAATAAAATAGACGTAAATGGGGATTATTTATAGACTGTTTTATATCCATATCATAAGTAGAACCTTAAGGTCACGAATTAGATGGATCAAATAGGATACTGTACGTATGATGCGAAATATTAAGTTTGATAGATAGTTATTAATCTGATCGAATGGAGTTTGACCTAAAAAAAACCAGGTGGTACAATTGGATATGACTGTTCCCATGGATATTTGTGTTTAGAATATTGTACATAAGTGTATTGTTTTTACCAGAAAAGTAACATTTTGTCCGTTAGTCATACTGTTTTCAATGATTAATTCAATTGGAGACATTGAATTATAGATGCAGATTTCGTCTGTACTCATCACATGAGCTAACGTCTAATCATTCAAAAAAGAATATTAAAAACCTAACCATACAGTGCTATGGAGTTTTGACAATGATATTCAAAATATTTCAGTCCAGCTTCTAGAAGTTGAAACTTCACATCTGAAAAATTATAAATATCTCTATCAGTTAATGGGAAGAGTTGTTTTAAAGACTATGGAAATTTCATCAAAGAACAGTTAAGACAATGGTAATCATACACCCATTAGTGAATAGCAATGTAAAATGTAAATCTCAGTGGTGAATTATAAGCAGAGATAGATAGTGACAAGCAGTGAAATCTAGGAGGTGCACTTCGTCCTATTTGGGACTCATATGCTGAATGTACCTGTATCTCACAGTTAATCTTCACTGTGGAACTCGAACCCAGTCCTTATAGCCCCTTACTTTTGCAATGGAATGACGTTTAATTCATATTTATGTTGGTTGTTTAAATCTTCGCATTGATGTTTACGACTACAATTGATAAGGCTTGTCAACTTAAGGCGATATTGAGGCAATCTTCACAGGATACATATATGCTAATAAGAGACTAATCAATTACAGACCCAATCATCAATGGTGAGATTTAACTAATCACCTTAAGCTTCATCAATATGATGTGTCTAGTAAGAAATTAACTACGAACTAGATATTATTGAAATATTTCAATAAGGATACAGATGTTTAAAAGTAGAAATCATAATTACCATCAAGGAATTGTATAAAACAGTTTCACAACAAATACTTTGGTGAAAATAATTCATACAATAAAATGATGTTAGTTTGGGCACCTTTAAAATTAAGAAAGAAAGCTGAATGGTTATCTTGTCCAAGATTGTGAAATTTTGTTGACAGAAGAATATCATTAAACTAGTTGACATATAATTCTCATTTAAACATGAAAGAAACACGAAATTCAATGAAGAGATCTCTTTTCAATGAATTTATTAACAAGCTGTAAAATCATATATGAAAGATTATTTTTGTTAAAATACTAGTTTCATGAGAATATATAAACAGGGAATAAACGTGATGATGGAATAGAATGATTAAACAACTAGATTACGCAATGTGACTAATAACAAAACACCCTATTGATAATAATTATTATGTGCTCACAAGTAACTGGTTTCAAGAGTTATTTGCTGGAATTCTAGTGAGAAGTCGTGACCAGTGGAGATCAACTGGGTCTGTTGTGAGATAGTAACTCATTGAAGACAATGGTGGATGGTGGAGCAATATCGTGGATTGGTTGAAGTTAGACATTAACACCATTGAGCGCAGGCTGGCTCAGAGGTGTAGAGGTTAAGCGTTCGCACGCGAGTGTGATAGGTCCTGAGTACGAATCTCGTGGGGGCGGGATCGTGGATGCGCATTGCTGAGTAGTCCCATACTAGTACGAAACGGCCGTCGAGTTCTTCCAGGTTTTATATGGTGGCCTAGCTTTAATTGACTCATGAATCCAACTATCAAAGAAAATGTTTTATAAAATCAATATGAAGTTAGCTACGGATTTTAATGTGAATAGAGTAAGATGAATAAAATGCTTTTATCACAATAAAATCATGACGGTATGTGACATAAATAAAGAGAGAGGGGGATATTTTCAAATACGAAGTGAAACAATAATAACGATAATAAGAATAATAATAGATTAAGGCCAATATAACGATAACGATAAGATGTACTTCATTTGTACATGCAGTCCTGGCTCGAGCTCATAAAAGGCGAAATCTTCTGTTTTAAGGAGTTTGTTACACAAAAAAATTAGTTGGATTTGGACAATTTGTATAGAAATCCTTAGAAGCAATCTGTGGATCGGTAGGATGATTAGATTCTATTAGATATTCAAGAATGGAATTTCTAATTGTTTTCCTCTCACCCTTGTAGAATCAAACTGAGAAATGTCCTCATATCCGAGTTGAAATTAAGCACCATAAGGACGGGTGTATGTAATGTAATCAAAAAGATGATAAAAGATATGACCTAATCGTTGCGTTAGCGTTTTTTTTTTTCGTTTAACGAGTTAGTTTTCTACGGGACGGAGTCACTAACCCGAATACGCCACCCTCCTTCTTTACCCGATCTTAAGTCCGGCAGAAGCCCCAGAGAGGCTTCAAGCAAAATGGACATAGTAATTCATAGTGGCTAATATTTTAAATATGAGTCAAGTTCTAACTTGGAATACTAAAAGGAATCGGAAAAGACGAAAGCCGAAGAACACACTACGTCGGGAAATAGAAGTAAATATGAAAAGGATAAATAGTAACTGTAAACAAATGGAAAGGATTATACAGGACAGAGTTGGATGGAGAGTGATGGTGGGCGATCTATGCTCCTTCACGAGGAGTAACAGGAGTAAGTAATATTTTACATGATCAACCTCCTTAAAAAATACACTCCCCCTCCCTAAAATTAATTT